TTTACTAATTAGTAGTAACGGAGATGAAGCCTACAACACCGAATGAAGAAACTGATCATGTTGTTGGCTGATGGGATTTCATAGTCACCAAAGGCTATTGTTGTTGGGGACGGTACGAGAAAGGTGCAAGGCCCCTTGCAGCTGCGTTCATGGTGGTTGGAGTGGTTGTGGTTTTCATGGATCACGGTGCTTGGGAATTTTCTGGGCTTGATTTGAAATCGAAGCTATGAAAGTCATTCTCCTTGTTATTAGTTACAATTGTGAGATGATGCTACAATTGATTTGAGGAGGATATTAAGGCTCCATTTGTAGCGATCGCGAATAATCGGGGGCTAATGCTAGCACGTTGCAGGTTGCTGATCACTCGTTTAGGTTTTCAATGGTAAAATCCAAATAGCTGACTCAAAATAGTAGGTTTAAAGTTTTTTTTTTTTTTAAATCAAAGTTGCTCGGTGTATAGCTTTTTCTAGATTTAATTAGACTTAGCTATTAAGTTTGTATCAAAAAAATAAAGAGAAATTATTTTTGCTTAGCAACAATTAAAACAAAGAAATATTATTAATAAGGGTTTCATAATTTTTATATTTTTATTATAACGAGGTGGCAATTTATTATTTGTTGACAATGTATAGAATTTACGCATTAAATATAAATTCAGATTCAAATTAATATATAATTATGATATTAAACTTTGTAAAATTAATTTTCTTTGTGAGTACTACAGACGATGTTTAGAAAAACCTTGCACTATCATGGCGGCGCATATGGACCAAGTTTAAGGAAGCTTGAGACAACTTTAAGAGATCGTAACTTGTTAGAAAGTAGGAAGTTTTTGTTGCTTGAGAAAAACCTAAGACTTCCTTTGTAAAGTTTAATGTTGATGGCAGTGCAATAGGGCAATCAGGCTTGGCACCAGCTGAAGGTGTATTTCAAGAGTTTTTGAGATTTACCTATAAAATATGCATATGGTATTCTCTAACAGCAAAACTTTAGACCTTTTATTGAGGTTTGCGTTTATGTTGGGATAAAGGTTACATGAGAATACAAGTAGAGTTAGATTCTTTAATAGAAGTTAACTAATCAAGATTTTACTGCTTTAGACTCAAATGCTCATCTCATTAGGTGCATAAAGGAAAAGCTTCAATTGTTTTGAGAGTGCTCAATTTTTCACGTTCAGCATAAAATCAATCACTGTGTTGATTGAATGGACAAATATTATGAAAATTTATATCTGGGTTCTGGGGTGGAACGTCTTTTTGTAATGACGAGGGGATGCTTTTTCAAAATTTTTGAAATTTTTTATATATTATATATTTTTTAATAATTTTTATTAAATAATTAATATAATTAAAATAATAATAAAATAACCCTATTTAATTTCACTCAAATTTTTAAAATTTTTTTAATTTTTAAAATTTTTTTAATTTTTAAAATTTCTCCACCCATATTTTCCTCTTTTCTTTTCTATCATTGTATTGTGAAATTATTAAAAAGTAAAGTTTTTATTTATATTATTATTATTTATTTTTTAATTATATTCTATTTTCTCATATATTTTAAGTTTCTA